CTTTATCTCTCTACAGAACCATTAGCATTATATTTCACTGTAAACACCCATCTGCATTCAACAGGTTTCTTCATCTCAGGCTGGTCAACTAGTTCCCATGTATTGTTCTTAACAAGAGCATCCATCTCTACTTTCATCGCTTCTTTCCACTTAGGTATCAAAAGAGCTTCTTGCACTGTTCTAGGTATAGGAATAGTAGCAATAGATGCCAGGAAGGATCTATAGGATTCTGAGAGACAATCATAAGAAAGAAACTGGGAGATACAATGAGCAGTAGATGAAGTACAACGGCACTTCCCTTTACGAATTGCAATTGGAAGATCAAGGTCATCTGAAGGAGGTTGAGGCTCAACAGTGTTAGGCAAAATGTCTACAATAGTGGGCTCAACAATGGCAGTAGTGTCTGGATCTGAAGTTGTAGAAGGTGTTGGGATTGACCTGGACTGTTGAGTACCACTTTCTATGATACACTCTCAACTCCCTGCACTTATGACAACCCTCTTCATGGCACTCCCCCTTGGTAACTTGGATAGGTAATGGAACTTCTGGGCTGAAGTCCTTCCTCACGACACTCCCCCTAAGGAGAAGCCCTGTGATAGTAGGGCATATCCTCAAAAAACTGTGACATCCATGGACACAAAATGCCTCCCCGAATCAAGCTCATAACAGCAATACCCCTTTTGATTTTGTGCATACCTAAGGAAAATGCATTTAGCAACCTTGGGATCAAATTTGGAGAGGTGAGGTCCAAGGATTTGAACAAAACAAGTACACCCAAAAGTTTTAAGGGGAATAGTGAACAAATCCTTGTCTGGATACAAAAGGTTGAATGGTGTTTTCATGTCTATAACCCGTGAAGGAATTCGGTTAATAAGGTAAACAACAGTACGGATTGCATCCATCCAAAGGCGTATGGGAACATTAGAGTTGAGCATGATGCTTTTGGCTACCTCCAAGATATGTCTATTTTTTCTCTTAGCAACCCCATTCTGCTGAGGTGGACGGGGACAAGTGCTCTGATGAATAACTCCATGATCTAGGAGATATGATGCCAAGGGTTTTGCAAAGTACTCCTTGGCATTATCAGATCTGAGAGTTTTGATCTTTGATTTCAAATTGGGTCAGTACCATCTAATGGAAAGCCTGGGTTAGAGAAGGGACCTCATCTCGAGAGTGCATAAGGTAAACCCACGAGAAACAGGTATAATCATCAACAAATAAAAAGAAGTATCTATACCCTCCATGGCAGGAATATGATATGGCCCCCAAACATCTGTATGCACAATTTCCAAAGGAAGGTTGCTTCTTTTATTGATCAAAGAATAAGTTGATCTACAATGTTTTGCAAGTTCATAGCTTTCACACCTCCAACTAGACACTTGGACTGACTCAAACAAATTTGAAATAGACTCTTTAAAGACCCAAAAGACAAATGACCTAATCTGTTATGCTAAAGCATAACCTGACCCAAAGGCTGAGAAACAAACAATCTCCCAACTTCGCTCTCCTTTCCCTGGGGATGCTCAAGCAGGTAAACTCCATTCGTCTCACGGCCAATCCCAATCACCTTCCTCGTTTCCAAATCCTAAAAACACAACGATCAGGGAAAAGGGTCACTAAACAGTTTTGATTCTTAGTAATACTACTAACTAAGAGATTTATCAAAAAAAAAAACACTACTAACTAAAAGCAAGTTAGCACTAAGCTTAGGGACATGCAAAACTGAGGACAGGAAGATGGCATTAGACAGTCTGATGTCTCCCTTGCCAGAAATAGGTACAAGGAAGCCATCAACAATAAATACTTTGTCTTTGCCAGAGGATAAACAATAGGTGGTAAACAAGGTGGATAAACTGGTCATATGGTTAGAAGCACCTGAATTTATTACCCAGAAGGGTCTAGTGTTACCTGGGGCTGAAGTGTGATATGTTGTAGTTCTTGTACCTGAGGAAGCAAAGGCTAAAGTAGGATTAGCAGAAGTAGTAGCTGAAGGCTGAGATGATGACCTAGAAATACTAACTTCATTTTCTAATTGTGTCAAGGCAGCCCAGACAGCAGCTAAGGCATCTAGGGATGTGGTTCTTCTTGTATTGGAAGACGATGCACTGTCAGTGGTGACCACACACACACTAATAGTCTATCAGCTATCTCTACAGAAATGAATGGGAGGATTTTCAATGAGAACAGTAGATCAAAAGAGGAATTGTTTGAGGCCATCAAAATCAGAACTGTGCATTGGGTAAAGACACTTGATCTATTCAAAGAATTCTCAGTAAATGATGTCCTAAGGGCATGGACTCTAGTGGCATCCTCAATTTCTCATCCAAAGAAAAGGAAAAGGTATTTGTGGAGTGGTTATCCCCAGTGGCTAATAAAATAAAACAAAATTTTGATGGAAGTTCCATGGGAAGCACGGGAATGGCTGGTATTGGAGGAATATTTAGGGATTGCACAGGAAGTGTTGGGTATCTTCTCAGGACCTCTGGGGCTAGGAGATTCACTAAAGGCTGAGCTAATGGCATTACTACAATGGTTAAGAATTGCTAAACAATCAAGATTTCAGCCTTTGAAGTAGAGGAATAGAGAGCATCACACAGGAGCTGAACATAACCTTCAAGTGGGTCAGAAGGACAGCAAATGGACTGACACTCTTGCAAAACAAGGGGTATATAGGCAAAAGCTGTTTTGGGCACCATTATAAATCTTATTCCTGAATTGGGATTGAAATGAATCCTTATGGATGGATACACCATGAATTTGTAATATCCAGATTATCATTTTAATATAATCCAATTTTCTTGCTGATAAAATAAAACATACATCTTACTTATCAAAAGAAAAATATACATCTTCTTTATCATCCATGAATAAAATAAGTTACTGATAAAAAAAATGGTAGCCTTGGTAGTCAAGGATGAGGGACCTAATCATGACTGATAGCATTTATGTCAACCAATGAGTAGTGCAGGCCTGGAAAACAGAGAAAAAGAAAGAAAGGGGGCTTTCTGTGATTTGACGTTCTTGTTGAACTCTGAACTGCGGTTTTCTCTGTGGGGCCCATGTTTCTCCTATGAAGTCCGCTAATACAATCAATCTCTAGAGTATGCACAAACATGGAGGTCAGTGGTATAGGGATCAACATAGGCTTAGTGGTTCAAAAGAAATTTAGTTTATATGTTTTTACAGGAATGGGACTTGTGTAATTTCTGCAAGATTTGAATATTAAAGTTGATTTTTGGTTTTGATGTTTATGTCTAATTTCTGTATTTTGATCCCTTAGCTGGTTTTAAAGAGTCTTATGAAGGTCTTATGTTTAGTTGTCAAGTGGATCCTACAATGGTGTCTTGGTCCTTAAGTAATAAAATCAACCTATATTTTAAGCTTCTATTTTTCTAGTAGTCCTCTTTAGTCAATAATAATGACTGGCAGACGATTGATCAAAAAAATGGCTGGCAGACCTTAGTGTCTTATAAGGTTTTTATATTGAATGGAACAAATGGGGAAAAATGTTTAGTTTTGGTGTTACCTTTGTGTAAGTGTTCTCTCTTGTTTTCCCTACACCTTCCTTATTCTCCCTCTATCTTCTACTAATACACTCTCTCTTTCCTATTTTCTTCTTGTAACCTTCTTATCTATCTGCAGTCATCTATCAAATATTATTTGTAGAATCCCCCCTCCCCCCAAACTGCAATCATTAGGGAGCTCATTAGGGAGCTGAGTGGACAGAATCCACTCAGGCAGTCTCCTAATCAGACAGTTCAGATAAAATCGAAGTTCATTATTCCAAGCATAAACAATACCTGTTAAAATAAGTTAAACAGAATATTTGTTTCCAAGATCTGGGCCATTTGTTCCCAACTCCTCTGCTATAAAACATGGATTATATAGCCTGAGTAATCCCCTTTCTGAATGAGTTTATTTAACCACTATTTTGGAACATCCAGTTAAAATGATGAAATGTACTTACTTACTTCAGTATGAATAATATCCTAGGATGGCAGCAGGTAGCCAATTCTTCACCCACTTGAAGAGTGATCCTAATGCAATAGGCTCCACCTAGGATCAGCTGCATCAAGCTGAATTTTGATTGATCTTGTATTGAGAACCCAAGTCCCTCTAGAATAGGTTGGATTATTCATAAATAAATGCAACACAATACCGTAGTTTTCAAGGTGTTGAGGCAAGGCTAGGCGATAGGGGTAGCTACAAGGCACAAGCATGCACTCACAGGGTAATTTCATCTTTCATTTTTTGAAAGAATGTCTATGTTTAATTGGAGGGTTGCAAAAAAGTGTTGTGACCATATGGACTAATCCAACCCAAATAACCTAGGCATGCACTCATAAAGTGATTTGGTTTTAAATTTGATTATTAGTATGTTCATGACTTATTGGAGGGTGACAAGAAAGTGTGTTAACCACATGAACTCATCGGAAATTCAGAATAAAATCACCCAGGCATGCACTCATTGGGTGTTTTTGTTTTTGTTTTGATTGATAGCATTTTAGTGTTTTATTGGAAGACCACAAGAAAGAAATGTGACCATGTCAACACATCACAACACATGTTAGGTTACCTTGGCATTTCTTGATTGTCATAGTAAGGTAGTAGACCTTATAGGTAGTCTATAAGATCTACTACCTTTTCAATCACAAACCAGAAAAAGGCATGCACTCATGGGTGATTTGTTTTTTCATTTGATTGTTAGTATGTCTATTTTTCATGTGTTATTGGGTTGAGTGGGGATCTAGTTGGGTTAGGTTTGTAGGTTTGGTGCAACTCATGAACAGCCCTAATTGATATCATGTTTGTGTTTTATTGGAGGGTTGATGGTTTTGTTATTTGTAGGATTTCCTTCTCATTGCTCCTTTGTTCAATTTTTACGTATATCAATTTTATTTATATAGTATTTTTGTAAATAACTTGTTTAGTTATTTCAGTTTTTGTAAACAATGTGTGGTTATTTCAGTTCTTTTATCCAACAATTGTTTGTGAATTAGGTCCCACTTGCGATGGATCTTATTCTTGCTGAGTTCCACAAGGCTTGCATCTACACTGTTCCAAAGTACATGGAGTACTCAGAGGTGTGTTTCCTTGCCTACTCAAGCATGTCATTTCCGGTTTGTGATTGAAAAGGTAAATCATCTTTTATGTGTGTATGTATGTATATTTTTAATATGAAAGTATTGTCTGGTATACAAGTTGGCCAATTAGTAGGTCAAGTAGACAAGACTTTTCTGGATAATACCCTATGCTCATCTCAAATATTGATTTTCTTTCCCATTTTACAGTAACTATTGTGATATGAATAAGCAGGAAGATTTCATTCATTTTATTTTCTCCATATAGTGCCATTAATTAAGACATTTCTGTCTTTTTTCTTTTGTATCTCAGTCAGCATTCAAAACAAAAGGAGCTTATTATAAAATGATTGGCTATCAAGAAGAAGATGGGGGACTTGAAAGCACTGAACGTTACGTGGAACGTGTAGAATCTTATTTGAAACTCTATGCTGCATTAGTTCAGGTGTAGAATCTTTTCTGGTGTCAGGATTTCAGCTTTCCATATCTTATATTTGAGTAATCTTTCAGTTGAAAAACAGCCCACTTGATGTGTGGAACTGTTTGAGATTAGATGCAAACCAGAAAAGAGAACAAACAAGAGAAGTAGAGAAGAAAGAGCTGGCGGCAATGGGTGTTAGAGAGTAAGAGGTTCGAACATAACATCTCTCTAACACTCTAAACATCTTATTAATAAGTTAATCTTT